AGTATACGCCCCGTGTGCCAGACCATTGAAAATTGTGCCCTATAATAACAAAGCGGCACGAGGAGGAACAGAAAATTGAATACAGCATTTGAGCTCTGTTCCGCCTGTGTTTGTTCTGTTTTGGTCCTCTCTGTGCGTTGTATGTGGCATGTGGAAAGCAATTCGATCAGTTGCCAATGGCAAGCGGCAATCACGATGCCCCCCGCCAAATAGAGCAAAGCAAATGAGTGTCTGATATCTAGGGGGGTTTTTGGCTTTCAACGAAACAAACTTTGCCACAAAACTATCAACAACACTGCCACTTCATGGATGTGGCTGTTTATTTGTACCATTTTCGTGGAGTTCAATCCACAGAAAAAGAAGCAGCTGGTGAAAAGGAAGCCAAATGTCGGGCAGGATAAACTGCACTTGGGAAAATTTTAAAAATCTTATTTATATAAACTACTTCCATAAGTATTCTTCTAAGAATTGGAGGATAACATAGAGCTAAAATTACAAGCCACATCTTGGAACTAAGGACTAGATTTTTTCAAGGGTAGCTTTAGGGATTCCGGATTCCATTTCGGTCGACTTGGTCGGAACTTTCGGGTTTCTCCGCTCACTGCTTAGCGTGTTAGCCAAAAACTGAAACTGGGAGAAGCCACAAGAAACTGTTTTCGGCTTCCGTCTGGCTTCCTTGGCTTCTGGGTTAGCCACACCAGGCTGCCCATACCATGCAACTTTCATTGATTACTTTGTTATGGATTTTTCTTCATTCCTCTTCTGGTCGAGTGTGTTTTGTGTATTGGACTGATTTGCAACACAAGCAATGCAACAAGGCCGGCGAGCTCCTCCTCTGATTGTGGCAATCAGGGACCCAGCAAAAGGGTGTGGAAAGTTTGCGCAATTTCATATTCAATATGAAGAGCTCTCGAAGAAGCATAGTTGATATCCATCCACGAGGGGATTCGATTGCCGTATCAATTCCCAATTCCCAAAATTGAATTGCATTGCAGCGACAATGTTTAAAGCGACACTTTTTGGCCAATCGATGTGCAATTAAAATGCGAGACATGGCCGAGCTTATGATTAGAGAGAAAAAGATCGCCGCAATTTTATGCACGTAGCCGATCGATTCAACTTCAAATAGCCGGAGCGCAGCGCATTAGCCGGGAATAATATTCAGTCGGCATCGTCGCCGTAGTCTTGCCAACAACAATTAGCCAGAAGTTGAAATGCGAGAGGCGACGACGCCGACGTCGACGGTCGTTAAGACGAGCACTGGAGCTGGAGCTGGAGCTGGAGCTGGGTCTGGGTCTGGACTTGGCTCTGGGCCTGGGTAAGGGTCTGGAACTGGGCCTGCACTTAAGCACACTGACTGGATCTCAACTTTGGCCAAATGGAATTGAAATGACAAGACATTGTGGCCAGGGGTAGGGGTCGAATGGGTTGGGCTGTCCGGCCACTGCCCAAAACCGGCAATCGAATAGGATTTAAATTCAATTAAAATTTATTGTGGGAATTTTTTAAATTAAAATAGGTATAGAATAATTATTATCCTAATTTATGGCATAGCCATAATAAATTTTAATCGACAACATGGTCAATAAATTTTAGTTTTCGAAATCAGTTGTTCTTCATTTTATATTGTCTATTGTATTACCCTTTAACTCTGATTGCTTTCAGTGTGGAGAGTCGCAGAACTGGAAAGGAGTGGATCGGAATGGCCTGTGATGCGAAATGGGATTGGGGAATGGGATGTGATGCCCAGCTGGATGCCGCCTATTGGCCTGTTGTTGTCGCATTTATCACGGCTGTCGGATTGCGGGGCACACCCCCTCGTCAGCTCGGCACTCCGGCTGTGTTAACCAAGAACTTGCTGCAGGTCAAGTTACGGGGCGGGCGAGATGTAAAGTTTCACTTTAAAGCTGATTTCTGATTTCTGCATTCAGACCAAAATAAAGAAAATGGCTCAGGTACGTCGCTTGTCCTGCGAGCGAGTGAGTTCAACGAACCATTTCCCTGTAAAGTGTATTCGCTTCTCCTCCCTTTTTTATTGAATTTCATTGATAAATGCTCCTTGCAACATGCATATGCCCCTGGCTGTTGCTCCTTTTCGGTCGCTTGTTGTTTGTTCGATGGCAATTCGATTTCTGATTGCATGCCGGTGCCATAAGTATGCAGTATTTGTGCTGGTGCACCTTCTAATCGACTTAAATCCAATTTGGGTCATATGCAATCATTGGCCCAAAGGTAACCGAACTCGCCGTCAAGTCGTTCAACTTTGTGCGAAATGTCTGCGAATTCTGCCATCGATCTGTATTGATTATCCAAAAAGGAAAAAACTAACGTTCGAAACTCGTTTTTTAAGTATCTAGTTTTATTTGTCTTTACGTTTTTATGACACCTTTTAGCCGGTCGCCGAAATCGATTTAAAAATAGTTAAGTCGCGTCATGTGATGCCAATTAATCAGCCGGCTATTGCCGAAAGAGCCAGAAGTTGCTGCTGGTTTTTTGGCAGACACGGTGTGGCCTAGTGCAATTATTCAGGTAAAGTATGTCCACTGCATCAGCGATGCAAATTTACCTTGCCATATCCACATGACTCACAAAAGTCCGGCTTAAGTATACTTAACACTGTTTACCTGTTGCACCGACTAAATAATTAACCGAATAAACAGAGTTCGTATTTATCCAGGCCACTGGCTGAGGTGTCAATGTCAAGTACTTAAAACCTTAAAATAATCACCTTAAGACAATATTTTTGTTTTTAATGTCTTCGAGGCGTTTTCGGCGTTCTCTTTAAGTGTAAAAAGCGACAAGTTATTTTTGGGTGCGCTTGGAAAATCTATTTTCAGACTGGAAATCACTCGGCAGTTTGTACGCAACCGGTATCGGTTCAGTCACGTGGTTTGGCAATCGGGTTTGGTTTGTTTTTCCGACTAGTTGATATAGTGAGCATGTGATGTTTTTCCACTGCCTGATTGCAATGGAGAATTGTTGTAATGCTGCAGAGATAGCGCTTTTGTAGCATTGGATACTCATGACAGAAGGGAGTGGTCATTACCCTTGAGAGATTATATAATTTTGTGAAATTCAAAAAGAAAGACGGCTCTGTAAGAGGTTACACTTTTGAAGCACTCTCCAGTACTAACGATTACTGTTTATTTAGACAAATAGTCTTCGTTGCATGTTGGGAAGATATGTTACAATGCCTATAATATAGACTCTAAAGAGTTGACTGAATAAACAATGTGCAGCTCGCACCTCTTGCACTTGACACGCGATTTTTGTTGTCATGCTAATTGAATACTTTGTTAAATTATTGTAATCCGCAGCGAGAAACAAGTGGAGAATACTTTTCATTCATGATTTCTCGGCATGTTAACTGTCTCGATAAAATATTCATGAAATATGCCCATCAAGTATACGTATAATGTGAGGATTTGACTTCATTACCCGGCTTGCGGTGTGATCGCAGGCTGTGGTCAATGCGGTTGCAACGAAAATGTTATGGGAAACACTTTGAGAATTTAATTCAGAAATAAATCAGAAACTATAATTAAAAGAAAAAAAATTATATTTATTCTCTATATAAAACTTTTCATTTTTGGTAATTAAATTTTTAAATAATTAAATAATTAAATAATTTTGGGATTTGTTCTTATTATTTTGGGCGAAATACGTTAATACCAGTTTGACAAAATGTCCGATGCGGGCACATGTTTAATTAGTCAATGTTTGTCACAAATCCTGACATATGAGCTTTTCAATCGCAGCAACTCATTTAAAAGCGTCAGATGGCTTGGTCGCTGGTCGCTGGCGGCCAGAACTAAAAATAAAACCAATTTCAATTCCAATTCGAATTCCAATACATTGGCCACTCGGTTGACAGTTGTTTTTGCTTTGGATGTTGCTATGTTGCTGTACTCCTGTTGCAGTGGTAGTTGCACAAGAAATATCGTTGCATATTTCACGCCAACATTGCGCGAATATTTATCAAGTTACCCTAGTCTCCTAGTCTCATAGTCCTCTCGCTCCTCGTTTTTTTTTCCTTTTTAACAACAGCGTCTTTGGTGGCGGGTAAAAAACGCAGAAGCAGACGATCCAGCCAGATGCGATGGCCGAGAGCCGGTGGAGGGGCCCGGGAGGGTACAAAAAAAATAGTTAAAATGTAGATTTATGCAAATGGGACGCATAGCGAACTCGCTCGCATCCTGTCCCAGCTCGCATTCTCTGTATGCCAATGTGTTAGTAGCCCGCCAGGCGATTTTCCCCTCCCCCAGCTAACCGCCTTTTTATTCTGGATAACTCGTAAAATACCAGGGTATTTTATGTTCGTACAGGTGTTGGTTTTGCTTCTAAAATAAATAGGTGCTAGCGCTCTTTAAAGACTTTTGGATTTTATATCAGAGTTTTTAAGCCTAAACTAAATTGGGGATTGTTTTTTACTTTATATAATTTATTGAATATAAATATAAACTTTATAAAATCGCTATAATGTTTAGAGGTAGTACCGGGTATCATATTGTCTTGAGTGTAACCTCAAGTATCCTTCGAGTTCCCCACTGTCAGCTCAGTTCGCTTGCCAGCTCGCTGCCTGCTGTCTGTCTGTCGTCCTGTCTGACTGTCTGGGTATTGAGTGTATTGCATTTAATATTTATTTGCTTTTATTTTCCCTTTTCCCTTTGCCGCGCACATTTTTCTTTGCGAGCAGAAAAGAAGGATAGAGGGATTCTGCATGGCCGTCAGGTGGAAAAGGAAAATTAAAAATGCAATTGCGATTAAAATTGCATGACAAACGCGTCGGCAAAAAGTGTTGCCAAAGGGGGTTTGCATGTTTAGCACCCACGGCCCTCCCGACGAACCTCCGTGGAACCACTCACTGATAAATAGTCGCATCCCCATCGTAGAGGGCCGTGCCGCTCCCCATTGTCCCATAAAAGAAAAGTGATTTACTTCGCAGATGAATCACAGTAGTCTGTTTAATCCTATTTCTAAGTAAATCAATTCACACTTACCTTTATCAATCCTCAATGGAAAGTGTCACCAAATTTAATTAACGCGAGATCCGTTACGTCTTCTGGGCCAAAAAAGAAGGTGAAGAAGTTTGATTTGTAATTAGCACGACATAAAAATACTCTTAGCCAAAAATAATCGTATTTGTGAAAATTTCACCAGACACACAAGATCCCATGTATATCCGCAATCATTGTTACAATAAAATCATTTTTCAGCCGTATTTATTTATACATATTTCTTCATCTGTTTACGAGTCTCCACCAGCTGGCTATCTGCCCAGTTTCTCCTTCGTAGAATTTAATTCTTGTGGCAATGGCCGCCACACGCGACACTCTCGAGTCCCCTGCCCCTTGAATCTTTTTTCTTTTATAGATACATATGTACATATTGTATCTGTATCTTTGTCATTTGTGCATTAAGCGATTAAACAAAGCATGTGCACCGAGAACAAGGAACAATGACAAAATTTAAAGAACCTGACAGTGATGTAGGAAAATAAATTCAAGGTAAAAAAGTAAAGGTTTTGGGGTTGAAGGTTAAAAGTATTACTTTCCATCCACTATGAAACTATTTTTTTTTAACCAAGTTTTTATGATCATTTATAATGGGAAATGCTTTTGGGAATGCTAATTCTGGAAACCATTCCCAACCGAAATATTTTAGAAACCCGGCCAACAGTGATCACGTGACTAGGGAATGATTTGATAACTCAACCGGCGCCAAACGATTCGCGTTTTTTAAGCTTTTTAACTTTTTTGTTTTGATTCCGGTTTACGCTTTCTGTTTTCAGTTTTTTCTTCTTGTGGCGAATTTTGCTTTTTTTTTATTTCGGCCTAGCGTTCATCACTTTTTCGCGCACTTCTGCTCGGTCGGCTGGGGGACTGAATGTCAAATGATTTGGCCGTTCGATGCTTATGCTTTATTTATAACAGCACTAATTAATTTTCACTCTTTCTGGACGGCAGGGCGGGGTCGGGCTGGCCGGGCAGATCAGCGAAAAAACTGAAAATACGGTTGGGATGGGGGGGATAAGCCATCAACCGACCGACTGCCAGCGACTAATATAATTTGCGGAAATTGTGACACAGCAAACTGGGGGCCAGGTAATTGCACCCAGCTACTAGGGCTCCAGCTCAAGCTCAAGGCCCGCCCCCGATTCGGGCCTGATTTCCCCCGACGCTGCCATTGTTAGTGGTTATTAATTTTCCATATTCACACAATATACGAATATACTAGATGGTTGGTAAATGTTCTGCCCCGAACAAAACAGATCGGAATAATAACAATTTCGTTGCCACCTGAGAATGGACCGGAAAACTTGGACAGATCTTGCCGCGATTTCGGCGCTGTTTTACATAAACAAATCTATTTTATAAAATATCAAGTCCAATCAGTAATTAATTAGTGGCGTGCTGGCTGTTGGGAAACCTGTTCCATGTTTCCAGTTAACTATATGTGCCTAATGTGGCATTTTTGAAGAGTTTGACTAAAAATCGTTTATATTATCTTTTCCCATTTTTTTGGTGGCTCGTTTGCATTGCTAATGAGGACTCGGGCAAGAATTTATGGCTGGTCATGTGAAAAGTTTGTAAATATTTAGCAGATGGAATTAATTTATCAAAATCTGAAAACGACGGGCCATAAAAATCGAAACTGCCGCTTCATTTGAATTATCGTTAGAAAATAAATTTCATTGTTAACGGGGATTTTATTTTTTGGTGATATTTTGGGGAAATTTTCCGCTTTTAATTTTGTCAGTTTTGTCGCGCAATTTTTCGAAATCATAAATATGTGTGCCCAGAAAATTTTCCACATCCCAAAGTCGACTTGGGGGGGTGGCAGGTAGGTGCTATATGACGACCTTCGTTATCAAAAATTTCTGTCACGTCCGCACGAGTGACCCACGGGCCTTCAAAGGGTTATGTAAATAATGCCTCGATTTTGATTGAACTTTCGGTTTACCCGTATCGCGTGATTGCTGAGCCCTCAGATAATGCCAAACTTGTTCAATCAATTTTCCGTTTATCGCCCTTTTGAACATTTTTTTATAGTATTATTATTATTGAAATGCTTTTGTTGCGGTAATGGGGCTATTAATGCACGCTAAGATGGAAAGTAAATGTTTCAAAGTAAACATTTCTTGATACAAGTTTTAAGAATTCATCGAGACTTATTGGAAAACTAAAAAAAATTATATAAAAAACTATTAAAATGCTGATTATGATTAGTTTAAATAAGTAAACATTTGTGGTTTCTAGTTAGCTAGTTATTAAAAAACTGTTTTTTATAAAGCAATTATTCCTAAATAATTTTTCGGTTGTGGCTTTTTTATTGTTTCTGCCTATTTGAAACATCTTTTTGCTCAAAGCCTCAGAGCGTTTTTTTTTAATCTGTACATTTTTCACAAAAATTGATGGTCTACGAAAAATTGGTCTGGTCTACGGTTTGGTAATTAAAATCACAAACAAAATTACTTTTCAAAGAGTAGATTGGTGTAAGCTTCCGTTTTGTCGTTGTCTGTTTGATTTATTTTAGTTTATTATTTTATTTGATTTATATTGGTGCTTCTTTATATCTTTTCAGGGTAAAAATTTTCACTGCTACGCGAAGAGGATAGGATCGGATCGTTTCGGATCGGTTCGATTCGGAACTGCGTCTTGTATCTGCGAGCGCCACGACGGGTTTGTTTTCATCGCCAGTTGCGCGGCTGCCTCTTGGGCGGCGCTATTTCTCTGCTGGCGCGATCTTGTTCGTCGCGGAAGGTTCGTGCGACGCTGACGGTGACGCTGACGCAGCAGCCGCAGTCGACGCTGGCAGCTCTGCTGGGCGTACCGCCAGCATCTGAGTCTCCCAGGTCCCAAAGTCCCCCTCAAGCGTATTGAAAAATATAAAAAGAGCGAAGATCTTTTGTGGGTTGTGTGTTTTGTGGATTTGTTTACGCACTGCTGTTGCCGCTGCTGCAGAGCCGGTTTTATAAAATTTTTTCTTTACTTTTTTTATCGCCAGTGCCCGTTCCAATCGATCCACTGACCACCACTATTAGCCACGAGCTTTGGATATTCTGCTTGCACAGAGTGCATTTGCATCGTTCGGCTGCCAATTGGAAATACTGACACAGAGCCGAAAAGAGTGAAGCCAGTGCAAAGATGGCAACGTAACGCCGCGATATAATTAACACATGCAACGAGCGCTAAACAACTTTAACAACAACCAACGTGTAGATAAACAAACAACAATTGCCGGGCTGCCCTTTGCCCAATTACGTGGGTGGAGGTGCTGGGGGAGCTGGGCCGTTGCTGGGGGTTGTGGGTCATAGTCAAGTGCAGGGCATGAGCAGTGCAAAAATGTAATTTTCTGGCACTAGAGTCGGGGGAATTTCCTAGGGGGCTCTGACGCATATCTCATAGTCTAAACGTTAATTACACACCAAACACTTAGTCATAGTGAAATGCCGGTTTATGTGCCAGGTTCAAGGAGTAACAGAAAACTATACATAGAAAAAATGTTCGAAGAACTTTATTTAGTTTTGAATTATTTTTAAAAGTATTTCACAGATATCCCAAGAGGTTTTCCTTAACAATTACAATCTTAATAAATTTATAAATTTAATTAATAAAAGTTCCCCCAATGTTATGTTTACCGTGGACCTATCATTAATCGCTTCGTTTGTCGTTCAAGTTGCCGGCATTCGGGACGAGTTGCATGTTGCAGACTTTGCAACTTTTTCAAACTTCCGGCAACAGTTTCCACACACAGTCAAAGCAAAAGTTTTTGCATTAAATACAAAACAGTGTTAAATAATTTCAGCTATTTTATGATCATTTTTCTTGGCCTGGGCCTAGTGGTGCCCGGGCCTGTGTGTGTGCGGGGGTGTGGAGTTCGTAGCGGTTATAATCATCTCAACCGGAAGTAGACCCCTCCCACTCTATCATCGACTATCTCCCTCCCGCCTTCGCTATGGCCATTCCCGTTTACTTTATGACCGCTAAGCAGGGCGGTGGCCGACTGTTTGGCGGTTGGCTTGGTTGTGCCAGTGAATTAGCACAAACCGCATGTTAGATTTGTTGATAACATGCCACCACCGCGACTCCCCCACACCCCGGCACAACCTTCCGCCCCCACCTACTGACACACACAGGCGCTTGTTGTTATCCTGAGGGGCTGGGCGCGGGTCCTTAGCCGTGCAGTTAGAGGCTGTCAAGTTGAGAATTTTATGCGAAATGTTTAGTAATTAGTTGCATCCGCAAGGGGAAATTACTTAGCAAAGCCAACCGCAAAAGTCTCTCCCTCTATGCCGCTCATCCTGCCACCCCCAATCTCTCCAAATCCAAATCCCACTTCCAGTTCCTATCTGTCATTCCCCATCCTCTCCAGCCACCTCCTTGTCTATTCTACTGGGTTTGGCGCAAAAGTTCAAGCGTTAGCAAAATGTTGACAGCTTCAAGACATTCGCATTAGGGGTATCTGGCTCATACAGTCATCACGCAAAAAAAACGATCGTTTTTGCAGTAATTCTATTAAAAATTAAAATTTTTTTCTAATGTCTTGAATTTTTATTCTAAATTATTATATTTTTTTTCATGGTGATGTATAATAAGAATTATTTAGCTCCTCTTTCTCTTAGTTTCTTTTTTAATGTATGAAAGAATCTTTTATATACAATAGGCCAATATTTTGAAAAATTTGCTTCTTAATCATTTATGATAAGTTTCCTGATTGATCAGGAAACGGTTCTGCATTTTTCTCTCTGTAATTATTTAGGAGTCATCCCCAGTGCGACATGTGCGACGTGTGTGCTTGTGTGTCTGTGAGCATGTGTGTTGGTGAGCCCAGCTCATTACTCATACGCAGCGTGCAACGAGACTCCTGTTGGTGCCAGGCGTTAAATTAACTAATTAAAACTTGCACAACTCGTGTGGCCGTCTCTTTTTTCCATAGTGCTCGGTCTCTGTCTTGTTTCGTGACAATTATTCGTGGGTGCTTTTAATTTTTGCGCCTTTTTTTCTAATTCCGCTGGAAAATGATGTTTCCACCGACTTGTGACCCGGCTGATAAACGTTGCACAAGTTTCGGGCGGCAGCAGGAGCAGAAGCAACAGCAACAACTGAAACAATTAGCACAGTCGCTGGCATCTAGACTTAACCCGCAGGTTCAAGCTCCACTCTCTGTTGGTCCGTATCGTTCTGTCTCATTCCTTGTAGCGCATTGCGTGGGCTGCACGAAAGTTGGGCGAACAGCTAGCCCAGTTTTTGCACCTCACGTGTGTAATTAGCACCTGGCTGACTCGCAGACGGGGCAAACAAACTGGCTTGACAAACTTTGCATGCTGCTGGCGCGCTTTGATTAATGAGACTGTTGCGGCTTCGTGGCGTTAAAAGCGCGTATTTGGCTCTAATTATTTAATTGGGTGAGCAAAACAATTGATGGCACAAAGGCAACTGTTGGCTTTAGAGTTTAAAGAAAAGAGGGCTTATCATACTAATGAATGGGTAGGGATCGATTGGGCAAAACCTGATTGATTTATCCGGTTTGGGGGATGGCCCTTATGACGGTAAAAGTTACTGCTTCATCAAATTTGGGGTTTATTAATAACTCAGCAGATTTTCAAATCACTAACTAATTAGGTATCACATTAGGTAGATCTGAAATTGTCTATTTCTATGGTATTTTAAGAAAAATACGTTTGATTTTACGTTGTTAAGCTTTTTAACACTCATTCCTCTTTTTCCTTTCGTTGGAAATCAATTGACTATGAGCGTAATTATTACCTTTATTTATTTCTCTTTTACCTAGAAAAAGTATGTCTAATCAACCACACATCAAGTGGCTGTATAAAGGTTCGATTTTTGTCATCTATATATTTATTAAAGTTAATTAAATACAGGTGTTACAAAATTCTTAGTATCAACATCGCAGTCTTAAAATGGCACTTAAGCCTGAAAGTGGGCTATGAAATCTGGTAGCACTTACCTGGCCAATCCCATCCCCAGAAGTGTGCTATTTTACCGAAGCTGTCTTACCTTTGTTAGACTGAAAATTTAATGGGCGGCAGCTGCTTGACAATTCTGCAATGTCAAGGCTACTACAACCATTGTGGGAAAAAATCAATAAGCTGAGGAGCCCAAATGGCGGCGTCTGCGCATACAGGAAATTAAAATGCCATTTAATGCCAGGGAGCTACCTACTTGCACTCCCTTTAGACTTACGCATTCCCACACACTCGAGCGAAGTTTTTCAGAATTTACCGGGAATTTATTTCCTTATACGCCTGCAATGCCGTACCACCCTGAAATATTTGCCACCTGACCAGGTGTCAGAAATGAATGAACAAGACGAATGCATTTAAAGAATTTAAGAATACCTTCGGTTTTTATTAATCAGTTATGATTTCTGTTTATCCAAACTGTTTGTTGTTTCTGACTCACTTGACGAGATTAAGTTTTAAAATGATTTCTGTTTAGTAGCTTTAGCTGTAGCTTGTCTCTGATGAGTTCGAGTTCAAGTTGGGAGCCTCTTGTGGAATTTTTCGTCTGCATTACTATTTAGTTTGTAATTGTTATCGTATTGTATAATTTCAATTAAATCTTTATTGTCCTTTTAGTGGACATATGTATTCACTTAGCTAATAGTTTTATAGTTGCATATATCGTATTTTCTATTTATAAGTTTCGCTTACAACTAGAAGATTTTAGGAAAACAAGTTGACCCATACAATGGGAAAATGTATCATTTTGCTCAAACTCAACTGGTGTCTTGGGGCGATTGAAATGGGATCCAAACGAAGGGCAACAGAACCGAAAGTTTTAAATGCGATTTTAGTTCTTGGTTTACAGTGTAGATTTGTGAGGATTTTCCTTTAGTTTAGTTTAGTTTAACTATGATACATATATGATTGCCTAAATGCTAAAAGTTGTCAACTATTTGTGGGGGTAAGAAACGGGGTTTCCGATAGTTTGTTCTTGTTTTTTGGTTTTTGGTTTTTTGGGCTTTGTTATGTTGTTATGTTAGTTTGTTTACACTTAGTCTTAGCTTTGGTATAATTAAATACTTTTTAGTTTACCTCTTCGACTTACATGCGAAAATTCAATTCTTTGGTGGCTTCAATTTGCAATTTGTGTTGCTCAATTTACATTTCATTTCGTAATCCTAATCGTATCCATAATCATATTAAAGTTTAAGAATCATGAGACTATAACATGGCGTAGTTAGTAGGTATTTTATTTACAAATGCTTATTTGGCTAGGTAAGTTTGAAATGCTCCTCTTAAACGCGTAACTAACTTTAAATTTTGATTTCGAGTTCTCTTCTTGGGGTGTTTGCTATGTGTGAGTTTTTGTGGATTTTGTTCCGATTTTTAGGGGGTGCTCTATGTAGAGCATGTGCATGCATGTGCAACCAAGACGTTAAAAGGGGCTCAGATTTTAACGTTTTGACCACCCTGAGGGAGAGGGGTGCATGGGATGATGAACCGAGGCGATTCGTAACTCATAGCACCATGTTACTTCGTTGTTAGCTAAGTGGATACTACAAAATACTTAGAAATAATGCAATGAGACTATGTTCTCCTATAACAGGCCAAGAAACAGAAAAGCAACAACGACAATGGCAAGTTCTAAACTTTATTTACCTATTCATATTCATTTAGATTTGTTGTGTATTTTACCCATTGTTAACTACAGTTTATTATGAATTACTTACATGTCTAGGGCAACTAACATGCAGAGTTTGTGCAGCATTTTTCTAAGTTGTTTTTACACTTAATTGGTTTATGGCTGTTTAATGCTTTCCGTTTGTGTTTCCGATTTTTGTTTTGTGTTTTTGGGAAGAAACCTTTCGAAATACATTCACTTACTTAATATACACACAATTAGTTACATAGTCTGCCCGAAAACAGGAGTCGAAGTCGGATAACGCAAGTACAATGCAAGTGGATAGAGCGTAATTGTAGTGGAAGACTTCCGCTTAAAATTTAGGTAGGTAGTTTATTTTTCGTTTATTTATTACATAAGTTATCAATGCCAAAAATTTGATTTTCATTAACCGCCTGCCTAATATACACACATAATACTTCATCTTTCCTGAAGTATCTCTATGGCTTGTTCATATATTTGGTGGTATTTTTGGTTTCGCTCGTATTTGATCTACCTTTGCGCACAACTAAGTGGAACAGACACACATATGAGAGTTTTGAGTTCAAATGTCGGCTATGCTTATTAAATGAGTAAACGTTTTAATTCTCTTTTTATGTAGTTTATATATATTATTTATGAACTATTCGAATATTCGCCGTTTGGCGTTTATCTAATTTCAAAATTCAACTTTAATATATATCTGTTTATTTATCATTAATATTAATATTTGTATTTATATATTTGTGTCTAGTTTACAATTAGCAAAAAGTTTAAGTTTAAATATTGAAATTACACTAAGTTACTTGCAATTGGTTTTAGTTTTTGTTTTTATAATGAAATAATTTCATTTAAACGTTTCAGTCATTTTAAATTTTATTTGTAATATTTGTTGCTTAGCTTGGGAGAGACGGACCCAAAACATGAACTCAGATGGTCGCATGGCTTTTCTTATGGAAAACAATAAATTCCTTTGATCTTCGCTTTACTTTTCAATCCGAACACAGGCATTGGATTTGCTTAGTTTTGGCCGGAATTTTCGGGTACCATGCAAAAATATGAGGAAACGCAAAATCAAGCATACGACCCGTTGAACCGAACCAGCAGCAGCACCAGAACTTTTCCAATTAATCAACGGGGGTCGGGTCGGGGGGGAATTGGGGAAGAGGCATGGGTAAGTGAAGCAGGCACAGTTTAATGGCCGCCATCGTTGTGTCGTCATTGCCTCATAAATATTCATGCTGTCAATGCGCATAAATACCTAAGTGCATATTTATGGTCCAACATTTGTCGTTATGAGTTTTACATTTATGGCTTTTTTACTTTATTAATTAATATGCAGGCCAACGAGTCAGCAGGCATTTTTCATTTGATTCATGCGTCTGCCGTCCGACCTGGTCACGATAATTGCTCCTAGAGAAATCCAAACACATATATCACAGGGCCTCAAAAATATGCGGCGCCACACCCCCGCTGTGAATCAATAACTGAATTGTGTACACACGTTGCCATTTCGGCAACAATGCAATTTTCACGTGTTCCTCATGTGGGAGGGTCGTATAAATGAAACAGAATGGATTAATTGCACTTTTATTCGATTTAAAGCGTAATTTACTTGGCGTTTTCAAAAGAATTGGCCATTATTATGACGGTAATGTTCACGGATTAATAAACATTTCCTTGCCAGCCTGATCGTAATTCGTTCAAATATTTATCAACTTTTGGACCAAAAAATGCTTTGAACAATCCGCAACCGCAAACAGAATTTCAATTAAAACCAAAGCCTCCCTAGCCACTCCAGGGCCCACTGATCCTTTTGCTCTGTAATTTGCCAAGTTAATCAGGCATTAAATTGGCTTATGGGGCTGAAATAGATGATGACAGAAATGCAAATTCTAATTTTCGCATTTGGCCCGATAAATAATTAAATTTTGTCAGCACTCGCAACTAGCTACGAAATGTTGATGGGGCTTTAAAAACTCGCCTATGCCAAAAATAGAACCCTATACCCCAGGGTGAATTTTTGTTATTATCATAAATATTTTAGAGTTTATTATGTTATTTACCCGAAAATCGGGAGACTCCTTTGTTGACTCGACTCACCAATTAGGACAAATAAACTAAAAATTCAGGCGCGAACAATTTGCATCGCAAATCTCATAATTCAATTAAGGGAATTAATTTAAAAGGCTTTGAATTATGCAAAGCGTTCGCAACTTTTTTGTTTGCTTTTAAAAGTGATAAATATTACACATTTAATTTATGGTGATTGCTAATTGTGACATTAATTGCAAAATTTACAAAGAAACGGCAAAAAAGCAACAAACAGCCGGCTGGAGACAAAGGATGGCATTGCGTATACGCCGGGCTGGTTTGCTGGTCTAAAATGCCGAGCTGGTTTTTCACGCACTAAGTGAAAATGACTTTCCCGTGTGCTTGGCAAAACAATGCCGTTCGACACTCATCTGGCTGTCGCACCTAAGTGCAGCTAAGTGCTGTGTGTGTTCGGTGGGTGGTGGGTTTCGCAGATGTAGGTGTAGGTGTGTGTGTCGCGAATTTTAATGTGCCTGCTGCACCACCTGCTGCTGTTGCACCGCTATCAGCAGCACCACCACCATCCAGAACCCTCCTGTCGATTTCAATTGTCCTTTCTTGTTTTTGCCATTTTTTGTCCTGCCATTTAGCTTGTTGCTTTTATTGTTGGACTTTCTGTCGCTGTTCAAATTGTCATTTGAGTGCAGTTGTTGTACACACATTGCTGACAATGCCGAAACGTACGTACGTACGTCCGGATGCAGAGCTGTGATCTATAAAAAATTCAGCCAGAAATTGCTTTCGATGTTTGTCTTTCAACACCCGCATAGCTCTTGCCCCGATTTCCATTTTCCATCTCCCGAAAAAGCGAAAACCACACACTATTATTTATGCGTTCTTAAACAATTTTAAGATGTTTTCTGGTGGCCAAAACAAGCACTTAGCCTATGGACCGGGGGCTATAAATCTTAGGATGTGGCGAAAGGGACTAAAAGCGTCATAAATTTGATGTCACATAACACGGTGATTATATTTTAGTTGCTACTAATTGCTCTGACTAGATTACGATCGATAAAGTTTAGATTCAGCTTCACCTTGTCAGCCACCAAGTGTTTGAAAAAACACACGAGTGTATCCCAGATAGAAAGCCATCACACAGGGAAGTAAAATAAATTGGACGTAAAATTTATGCATAGACCCGTCAAAGTCCTCTACCTCCTCTAACAAATACACTCGTATATATTTTGCTTTCCATTTTTTGGCTTTGGCTGGCAAAACAAGCCAAGCCGCACTAGCCAAGCGAAATGGAGAGCCATTCTGGGCCACATGCCAAAAACAGAGCCAGCTCCCTCTGCCTCTTTCTGGCCCTGCCTATCTGCCTCTGTCTCCGCCTTCGTCTCACTCAGTGTCATTGTAGCGTTCCAGTGACGACTGTCTGTCCGCTGTCCGTCTGTCCGTTCGACTGACTGAATGACGGGCTGTCTATTCCACTCGGCCGGGCACATGCATTTGCTGATGCATGGCCAAAAACTAAAGTGGGAAATGGCGGAGAAAAATCTAAAAATTGTAAAAAGGAATGTTAAACAGTAAAAAAAATAAACTTTTTTTAATGAAATTAAAAACATTCTTTTTAACAATAAAGTACTTTTATATAAAAATGGTTTTTTGATATTATTGTAATGATATTTAAGATCATTTAAAATATGGAATATAAGACTATATAGAAACCTCATTATGCAAAATAAAATCACTAATATAAAATTTATGATGTTAATTTTTAATATTTAAAATCCTTTTTTATACTCAATATGCACCTAAAACTCAGAATGCTTTAATTCAACCTGAGCATTTTTGATGGCTTGTGCTATCCTATAGACCGATTTTTTCAGTGTAGCTCCCAACCATTTGAATTTGCATCTGTGTGTGCCCATTAGGCATTGGTTCCCACCCATATATTTGGTTTATTTTTTGTACTCCCACTTTCTGTGTCGCTGAGTGAAATATCTTTGAGTGAATGAATAAAACTGCGGCTGCCTTGTCTCGCAGTTTTCTTCCCCAAAATTGTTTTTTTTTGGCATATTTCTGTGTGCTCACTTTGTAACATCGAATTCTGTGTAGTGGCCGCCTGACTGGATTATACTTTACATTTATGTGAACATGAAATTAATGATCTGGCCAAACGCCAACTGTGGAATGTAGTCTTTCTCGGAGAAGTATTTGCCGAAATACTCGTATTAAGAAGGAATCAAATTAATGTACCTTCTGACTGTAGCAATTGCTGACCTCGATATTGGTTGGCACTGCGACTAAAGGGTTTCCTGCCGACTGCACTTGGCCCAGAAAAGGTGAGGGGTAGCATTGGCCATGCAGCCGCAAATGGAAATTTGCGAAATTATTTCAAGTTGAATGGCCATAGACGTCGCAGGCGGACACATCCCATTCAGGGGAGCATAATAGATGTTTGCCGAGCTCGGATTCTTGTTTGCCCAGCTCATGCATTTCTATGAGCTCGTCGAGTGTGAAAAGTGTGTGTGTGCGGTGCGGTTGGGGGGTCTTGGGTTCAAGGGTACTAGAGAAACCAAACGAAACCAAAAATGCGTAAATTGAAATTGAGAGATTCCATCAAATTCACAGCCGTTCATTGCTTTTGAAATGAGCTACAATGTTCGTTACTTTTTCTTTTTTCTTTTGTTTTGTTTTACTTATTCCCAAAATCAAAAAAATAGGTAAGTGGGACGAAATGGATGCAAGGTCGAAACGATGAGGGGTTTACCAAAACGAAGCAAATCTAACGCCTGTAGTGCTGATACATGCCATGACCATAACCCATGGGTGTGCTGCCCATGGCACGTTCGGTTGCCTTCTCGATGCTCCTCGAAACGCACCTGTAACAGCACACGTAGGCCAAACATCACTTGAACAGGATGCGCCTGAACGCCCGTCGGAAGTCCTTGTTAAAAATGGTGTAGATGGCCGGATTGAGAGCCGAGTTCATGTAGCCCAGCCAGAAGGCGATCGCAAATGCTGATTCCGGTATGTTGCAGTGACTGCTACAGGCCGGCACCAGGATGTACAGGAAGAAAAATGGCAGCCAGCAGGCTATGAAGCTGCCCATGATGAGGCCTAAAATCAGCGTGGCCCTCTTCTCCTTTTTCCTCGCAATCCGACGCTTCTCCTTCTCCGGATCCCGGGGCTTCGGGGTCTTCGGAATAGCCGGCTCCAGCTCCGCCTTAATCACCTGCTGCTTTTCCTGCTGCTGCTGCTTCTGGTGATCCTGGTTCTTGCCCTGCTGCTGATGTTGGTTTTTGGCCGCCACCGCCTTGGCCTCGTTTCGGCGCTGCTGGTTCGATTTCCGCCCAAAGATCGGCTGGCAAAGGCGAAACTTGAGCGGCTTTACGACGGCACATCGGCTTACGACCCCGGAGTCGCTGCTGGATGGATCGAATTCACTCACCATGTCCGTGTCCACGCCCACGGAAAGTGCTCGACACCGGCCGGCAATGGGCGAAACGCGCAACTCGTTTCCCGGAGCAGTGGCAGTTGCAATAACGGTGGCTCCATTGCCCCCAATATTAGGTGTAGAACTGGCCCCGACTGGCGACGCCTCGGAGGCCACACTGCCGTTGTTGTTGTTAAGCACATTAATGGAGTTTGTGCTGCCCATGGACGGTGGCACGGGAACATTGAGACCCACCCGGCCAGTGGCTATCGTGCTCACCTGCAGCGTCTCCTTGGGCGAGGCGGGTGAGCAGGGTGCTCCGGCTGCACTTGTTGTCACAACGGTTACCGTATTTGCCCCAGATCCGTTGGGATTGGCGTATGCCAGCACCGTTTGGGCGGCCACCGCCTCCAGCTCACCCGCCTCCGATGTGGATATGTCCGAGGCCAGGTCCATGGTCACCGTGGGAATTTGCATTGGCAAGGTGGCACTGTTCGGTGGCGTCTCGATGGTGGCTATCTGGCGCTGCTGGTGCAGTTGCAAGGCCGCTGCGCCGCTGGAGGAGGGCATCGGTATGGTGCCTTTCTTGTTGGCGGTGGTGAAGCTCGTTACCTGCGCCAAAAATAAAAATGTAAAGTTTAATGTTAGGGGAAATAATTTTAAGCTTTTAATTTAACAATGATTAAGTTTTGTCTTGTTTTCCTCAACAGTATTGTTGGGGCAAGTGCTCCACTGCGAGGCACTGTGATTAAGAATCAGAGCCATCCACCCCATTTCATCCCGTGCTCATGGCATTGCAAATTAGGTCCGCAACTGCAATTGCAACTGCTGCTGGAAAAAGGGACAGATGGCCCAACACTTGCTACAACAGTTTTCCATTTCGAAAATCCTGTTTAAGCCAAAAGGCGGGAGAGAAACGCGTCCGAGCGCGCGGATTACACAAACATGGGAGGATGGACGATGCCAGCTGAGGGGGTGGGCTGGGTGGCTGGGCAACTGGGGTGTTGGGGGGTGATGCGCCACGGGGGGCTGAACATATTCAATGCGCGAAAAGCAGCAACAATTACCCCGGGCAATTAACAGAGACACAGAGCGTCCAAACGAAAATGAAAACAAAGTGTTGGCATTGCTGATCGAAGATGGAAATACCCTTTAGAGGTAAGTCTTTGATATAAAGACATAGGATGGGATAATGAGAAATGTCCCACTATAATATACATATTTTATTTAGTATCCGTTATAAATTTAATGCCTGACCTTATCATACCCTTCTTGGAGGTACAAACACAATGATTCGAGCAGAACGTGCTGTCAGCATGTGTAAGAATTTTCCTTGTGGCCCTCTTTGTTTTCCTCACCTCGCCTCTGCTGAGTTTTCCACTGTTTTCCCACTGCCCCTGCCTGTTTTCCTTCGCCATCACAACCGAACCTCTCCCGGCTGTTAATCGCTCGTTTGGGCCGCTGCCCTCGAATTTGTTTGCACAAAATGGTCGAGAAGTGTCGCCCCGATATTACCAGCCAAGTTCCAGTGTCCGGGCCTGTCGGTTTCTCTATTTTTGTTCAGCAGCTGTGTGCATTGCGCATACAGTTAATTGAAAATGCAAATTGCGTATGGCACTCGTTGCAAGCATCAGGTAATTGAGGATCATTAGAGACTTTTCACTCAATCAGTGGATTTGGGGGCGGAGCTCCGATTAAATTTTCAGCGATAATTTTGCAACAAAAGCCAGGTTCGCAAATGCCATTCCATGGAGTGAGCCTGCATAATGGCTGCAGAATCGGTTCCCTGTACTAACGTGGCCAACGTGGCAGGCGGCAATGGCGGCCAAAATTGCAACGTTGGCACACAAAACCGACCCTGTCCAAACAGCAATTTCCAATGCACTGGCAGTGCCACGGGAGGCATTCTGGTGGGAGGGAAATCCAACACGTAGCCCACAAGTTGTTGATGGGAAATTGAAGCGAAGCATGTGTGCTCAATTTGCAGCTTCCTACCAGGAACCAGGTACCAGGTAGTACCAGGTAGGGTAATGCACAATTACTTTTTAGCCAAAGGAGTCGACGGGAAAGGGCTGTAAAGGGGTGAGAACATATTGCTCATACGCCGCGTATTCCACACGGTGGCTTAGAAAAATTACATTTGTTCATTGAATCGTCAAAATTTCCATTTACAATGCTGCCACAATCGGTGGGCTACCGCATTTAATACTCAGAATGTGCAATTGGGGAGTGCTCTCATCAAAGTTCATTAGGCACACCTCCCCTTATCCTCGGGGGAGGTTTCAAAATCATAAATAATCAGATTTACCCACCTGTTCGTTGTTTGTTTTGCGGGGATGCTTTTTAATGCCTCGTCTCGCCCGCGCCTTGGCGGCAAAATAAATTCGTATATACACAAAGACCATAATGCAGCTGGGTATGTAAAAGGATCCCAGCGCCGAGTAGAGCACGTACCCGATGTCCTCGCTTAGCTGGAATGAGAAAAAACAGGGTCAATAGGTTCAGAGGGTTAAATGGGTTGGCTTCAAATTACACACGAGAGGGCGTGGTCAGTAGTCAGTGGGGTCTAATGTATGTCTTTGGGTTTGGGGGACAATATAATTACTATGCTTTGAAGCAGTATTAGCTAAGATCAAATAATGAAATATAATAATCCATTTTAGGTCCATATATTCTTCTGTTTATTTTCTGAAAGACTTAAAAAAAACACTCCTTTCTTTTTGCCTTCTAATAAAATAAGCTTATTAAGAATTTACTTAAGAGGTATTATTTTAACACTCATTGATAAAGCTCTTAATGAACTTTACTCTATTTATTCCAGCTCAGAACAAACCCTTATCCTGTTACCTCAACTATCGCTTGTTAGATTGAATTTAGTGCACCACATCCGCTTTGAAATTCAGCTTTTCGTTCTTTGCCGTTGTGGCCGGGCTTGTTGCTTTCGACCATATTCTCCCCTTTTTGGCCTGATAGCGTGGGTTATTGAGTGCATTAGGCTGATTTATTATAAAGTGCATTTTTCTCTTCATTCTTTTTTGTGCCAGAAAAAAGGTTTTTGTCTGCCTCGTTTCCGAAGAGCATTTACGGCAAAAATGCAAAGTGCATGAAATTTCATAACGGTAAATGAAGTAAAAGTATTAGATTACCGTGCCACAAAGGGCTTCCACCTGCCAGCAAAAGTTTGTGGCCCTGCGAGTCGTGCGCCACTTTTTCAGGCAGTTGCAATTGCATTTTATTAAAGCTGGCGGAATTAAATCGCCTTATACTTTCTGCTCCGGAGGCAGCGGCCCGGCCGCCCGACTCTCTTCACAAAAATTATGTAAATTAAGTGTTTTGATGAAAGGCGCACAAAAAAAAGTGCACTTGACAGCCATGGAGGGGTACAAACTGGGGCTGTGAAGGAGGGAATTGCCCGAGCAGTTTGCCCTTTTGAGTTGCTGTTTTCAGGTTCGTGTTGTTCGCCGGCGAGTGGCGTGCATAATGAAATGCTTTTGTCCTGTTGTGCTCCCAGTGCCCCTGGCTCACCTCGATCCTTGTTCACGCTTAGCTGAGAAATGCATCATTTTGCACGCAGATGAATAAGCACATGAATCGAAAATCGCAGTACTCTCGGTATTTTAAAGCCACTCAATGAAGCTTCTCTTTCCAGTACTTCAGAGAAAATCCCAGGATCCTTGCCCACATCAGCTGGTCAACCTAAGCCCGATGATTCTCTTATGGTAGTTGGCTAAAAAATCGACTGGCAATTTATACAAAATTCTTTGCAACGTCACAAACGAAATTTATTTAACTTTTAAGCTGCTTACACCCCTATGTGGCCGGTATGGGTGTGCACCCACATACACACATACTTAAATTGAATTGCAGAGAAACTGCCGGGAACTGTAAATACGAGCACGTAGAAATAGCTGCACTTCGATGGGGCAGAGCCGGAGCCAGACCCAGAGCCAGAGCCCCTGGCAGTGGCAGCTTAAGTGCAGCCCAGTTTATCATAAGCCGCAGGCGAAGTTGCAGCAGGCAGCAGGCAGAAACAGGCTGAGCTAGACAACTTTATCCTGCTGCCAAAGCAGAAAATAAATTTCCCATCCCCATGGACACCGCCATAGCCTGAGCCGAGTCGGTTGCGGCAACAAAATAAGCATAAAGTATTAAGCGCTGGGTATAATGTTGCCGAAATATACATCAAGTGGCAGGTTGAACGGCACAAGAGACTCCACGGAGATGAGAGGCAGCCACCAACAGCTACTTAAGCTGGATTCTTGAACGCTGACGTTGGCTCGGCTGTCTCGGTTTTCAACTTATTGCCTGCCACAGAGGCAGCACGCAAAGTGCACTTGAATAAATGTTTTACAAAACTTTTGAAAAGTTCCTGGCAGATGGGGCAATTACAAGGGGCAACTAAATCCAAAGGCTATTTTATTAAATGTATCGATTTCAAGGTCTAATAAGTTTTAGAAATATTTTATAAGGTGCTTTAATTGCTTTAAATAGTTCCCCCAAACTCATTCTAGTGTAAGCCCTGCAGTTGCAACTGAATGTGCCAGTTGTTGTTCCTTCTCCTTGCAGCACCATTATAAATGATCTCATCATTTACGGTTTACTGTTGAAATATCGACAGCATTTGTCAGCGTTTCACGCTCAACTGAAACGAAACTGTAATCATTCCGTCGAAAACCTTTTAGTTAAGTTTTGGGTCGATTGCATTAAAGCCAGGGGCTGGCTGCCAAAAACTTTTGCTCGTAGGCCCAAAAGTTACGCATACGCGACGTGCTCACACGTCGCTCCGAGGAAACACCTGTAGCAACAACGAGGCACGAAACTTTTCCACACTGATAATGATGTCGGGCCGAAAGGCTGGGGAAATATTTTATTAACGCATTTGAACAAAGCTCTTAAACTGACATTTGTACAGGCGTAAAAAGGAGGCAGAAACTATGTACAACTAAAGCTGTGGCAGGCTGGGAAAGTACGTGTTGCCAACGGGATGGGAGGAAACTAGTGGACGAACAAATAAATTGTCAACTGTGCGTGACGATAACTTTGCGCAGCGGATTTAATGTAATTGAAAACTTCACTTTGTCGCTGCATTTCCCTTGTTCACTTGCTTCCCGTTAGCCTATTTTCCGTTTCCCCTTAACCCATTTCCATTCAGTTTTTCTTTAAATCCGGTGTATTTACACTCGGGAAAATGGTTTTTCTGGGGTAGGGATTTTTCTAGTTTCGAAATTAGAAATCCTCGGAAGTATCATTTTATCATTTAATTTTCCATTTAATATTGTTCAAATACTCGCTATTACAATTTTTGATTATTTTTAAATTGTTTCAATTAGTTTATGCTATAGAAACACCAACTGGACTTCACAGTACAAGCCTTGTTTATTAAAGCATAAATAGAATTTAGCTGTTTGGTTAAATTAGGTGGCGTTTAATATTATTAATATTTCTTAGAATAAACACAGTGTGTTTATTTTAAATTTCCGCAACAAAAACACAAATAAATAAATTACCGAGCCTCCCAAGAGCTTTAGCCTTTCGATCAATTAAAATGCAATACAAATTTAATGCGTCCGGGCCTCAAATGGATCCTGGCTCATTAATATTGCATTAGTTTTCTCCAAGTGCATCCTGGATCCCCTCAATCCATCCACAAGCTGCATTTGTGCTAATTTGCAGATTTTCAAATTGCAGAGGGCGCTTTTGTTTATTTAAAAGTTTTTCGTGGAAGAAGGACGAATGAAGATGGGGAAAAAGGAGTTGCAGGAGAACAGCGTGGGAAGGCAGCGAACGAAAGAAAACAAAAAGCGTGACGCAAAAGAAAAATAATTATTCTGCAATTTTTAATTAAATGGCAATGGTAATTGTTGTTGCCGGGACCCAGCATTGGGGAACTTAAGCTGATGGAAACAAAAACTCATTATGCGCCACCAAATTCGTTAGTCGAGTGGAGCAGCGGTGGAAAGCATGGAAAACGGTAGGAGAGCAACAGCTAAAAGTGTTGATGATGACAAGTACCAGGCCAGGAGGATGGGACGGAGGAGGAGCCGCCAGAAAGCGCAAAAAGAGTGTAAGCCATGATGAAAAGGGCTGATGGAGCCCGACTGGAAATTTATTGAAATGTAAACATGGAAAAGCAAGCCGAAATGAGCGTAATTAAAAATATTAAATTTCCAGGCCCGTCCGGCCGGCGAATGATGCGATGCTTTAAAGGTAAATCTACTAGCCGCATGGCTCTGGGGCTTACGGCCACCAATAGCTGCCAGCAATCGCAAATAATATGTAATGAAAGAAAATAAAGAAGAAATTCCGCTGTAAACACAAAAGAATTTCAATCCGCATTGCACTGCAGAAAGTTTGCCAGCGAGCTTGGGAAAAAAAAATAAAAAAAACTGAAATATCCACGATGTTCAACAAAAAGTTGAGTCAAGCTCACAAAAGTACAGAAAAATAAATACGTATATTTATATAGCAAGTGTGTGTGTAAAGTGAAACACTTTGAAAAATATAGTGAATATAAACAAATGCATTGGCGGAAGAGTGGTAGTCTTGGTAAATCTTAAATAAAATAAAAAATTGTAAATGAATAGGTTATAATAAAAGTTTGATTTTTTTGTTTGTTTCCAGAATGTTTTATTTTAAAACGGTTTGTTTTTTATTTAACTGTGATTATCTGTTCGAAACACCACTTACAAATTATATTATATTATATTAACTAAAAAAAAAACAAGTACTCCTTGCAGTGTGGAAAAAAATCGCCGAGTAGCTGCTGTCATCATCAGGATTGTTGTCGGGGCTTGTGCAAGTTTCTCAACATCAATAAGCCAAGACTGCGAAGGACTGGGCGACAGGACACATTCGGACACGTCAAGGACGCAGCAGCCACGCACACCGAGGCAAACAATAAATCTGAAGTGCAACTGCAGGCGGCGAGTAGTTTTTTTTGTGTGATTTAAAAAAAAACAGGGAAATGTACGCTACATGGCAGCCCTGCCCTGGTGCACTCCCTCCTCTTTGTCAATGTTGTCAATATTTGAAGGGGTTCGGAACCAAATAGAACCCCCTTTTCCAGCTCGTTTTGGCCCGCTTGTTTGTCGGTGCTCGCTGAAGCAGCCATTTTGCACAGTTTGCATAGCCAATTTGCCTGGCAGTAGTTTTTCTTTTCACTCCTCGTCTTCGCTTTGACTCTACATGGAATTTTCCTTCGACTTTGACTTTCACCTCCCCGGGAGCTACTATTTCAATTGACTGCATTTCCCATTGCCATTTCGCTATTCGCCTTTCGCATTTTGCATCTTGCATCTCGCCAATGCCAATCCTTATTTTCTATTAGTGTACACTCGATTCATGCCATGTCCTCATCCTTCCCAGCATCGACTCTGCTGACTGACTTTATTTGCCTTCGCCTTTCGCATTTCCACAACTTAACGCTTGCCCGCACATGCCATAAACGTAAATCAAGTGGCTCCTCCGCCCA